TTTGAATTCGAATTCTTAGCTTCACACCGTGGTCCTCTAGGAATCACAATTTGCTCGTCAGTATGTAACATGTCTGTATGTAATATGTATGCATGAGATATGTCTGTATGTAATATATATGCATGTAACATGTATGTATGTAATATGGACGTGCGAACCAATGGTGGGATATGTGAAACATGAAAGTGCAGGATCAGGATGGGATTAAAATTATTCGAATAACACTTTGGTGGTATGCGCCGCAGCCTGGCTGCCCAGCAGATACCAAGGAGGAATTTTGGGAACAATTGATGGACACATGCAATCAAATAAATGGAGAAGAGCAGTTAGTAATTGGTGGAGACCTAAATGGACACGTTGAAAACGCCCGGGATGGATACCCTCGAAACCATGGTGGCCAAGGATATGGTACCCGGAACGATGAGGAAAACCGAGCCCTGGACTTTGCGGAAGCCCATGATCTTGTCCTCGCCAACACCTTCTTCAAGAAGAGACCGTTCCATCTTAAACAACTACGCTGGTTTGGTCGTCTGCGTGCGTATCTGGACGTTAATTTATTTACGGACCCGCCCAAACAGCTCGCTCTGATTCGATGAAAATAAAACAGCCGGCAAAAAGCCACAGCTCACTTTGATTCGATAAAAATAATTAATTAACACGCCCGGAAGAGAGCGGCAGCATAGGTTTGGCAAGGTCTGCGCCGCAGTGCTGCAGTGCACTGTGGGCGCAGACCCTGCGCTGTGTGAGTGTGGTGTGTATGCAAGTGTGCGAATGGTAGTTACGCTAATATTACGTATATTTATGTAAAAAATGGGTGCTGCGTGCTGCGATTAGTGGAGTCCCCAAACAACTTTACCTTACAAGTCGGCAGGGGTCGCTATACAGTAAGTCTTAGCGGACTGAGCTGGCAGCTTCACCTGCCGGGACCACGGCCAGTTGCGTAGCGCACCCCTACAGTTTCGCCCATGGGTCAATACCCCCATGGGGCAACCCAGCTGACTGTTTGATGGGTACAATGGGTACTATCCGGCTTATTACCATTATTATGTATTGACGTTGATCACGTCTCCATGGACGGCTTGCTGTCTACTTCCGTTGTGTAATTCAGATGTTGTGCATGCTGCTGCTCGTAAGGGCATGTGTTGCATAATATGCAGCATGTGTCTGCGTATCATGTTTGCCACGGATGTAGTTGGCGTTACTGTACATTTATCATGTTTTGGAGTGCCAATCCCATGCATTTTGAAATCTAATAAACTGTCTAAAAAGGTTGCAGCCCGGCCCCCGCCACTGTCACTCTCTGGCCGTTGCACAAGCCATATCCGAATTTGCGACATGCTAAAACAATGAGTACAGTGTGACACCACCCAGGTAACTCCCGGGATCAAAATGGGCATCGGAAAGTGATCGCTTTATTGAGATGATTATGGTACTACCACAGGGTATTGTGAACGGTTCAGGAGGAGAAGAGGTCTGGATTTCTAAGTCTCACAGTACCAGTAAGAAGCGCCGGGTGGGGGATGCCCTCCACTGGGATACAAATTCTGTCATTATTAGTATACGATCATGCAATGTTTCTATCTGCAAGCTGTCATAACGGCAACGATCCCCGTTATTGTTCGATTGAGAAATGGAGTGACCCACACCTCTGATATCATATGTGAGGAACCCAAAAATCTGATGCATGCGTAAAACACCCACAATGTGAATACGTAAACGTAAAAACACCAACAAAATATTTGTTAATAAGAAAAAAATAGGTGGCCCCATAACGGATTTGTCTGTGTGTGTACATACAGACGGAGGATGCAGGGGCTAACCTGTGTGCGATCGGAACGGTGCAATTTCTGACCAATGTCACTGTGGATGGCGCACACGCTGACGCACACCGGAGCTGTGTCTTTGCCATGCAAGGGCATGGTGGATGGTGGAGCGCATATGGATGGTGCGTTACGAATACAATTAAACAAAACAAACCGCTGGAAGCAGCCATGCGAGCAGGCTACCTTGAGAGCGATCGCGAATGGGTTGCGTGTCTGGAAGAAGCCTCGCTGTTTCAGATGCCGTACCAGCTTCGTCAACTCTTCGCTACCATTCTGCTGTATTCCATGCCAGCAGATACCAAGGCTCTCTGGGATAAATTCTACGACGAATTGGCTCGCGATTACGAGTACCAGTACCGCCAGCTGACCAACAAAGAAGAAATGCTAAATCTTCTTGGTTCTTTCGCTAAAGTCACGTACAAGGGAAGTAATACAATAAAAAAATTAAACATAATAAAATAATTCTCACGATGTTTCGGCCACAACGCAAGCCGCCGTCCTCAGGTGAAAACCAGGTCTGTCGAGGCGACAGCGTCTGAATGAAACAGCACACGTGCTTGGAGCATATATATAAGCTGGTTTGGAAGGGAGGGGGAAAGGGTGCCTTGACAAAAGAATTTGCATATCAAGTGCAATTTAGCATATTTATGGGAAATGCAGGTATGTGATTAGTACTACTTATGCCCGTGCATTATGCAGGATTAGCAGCATCAAAGGGAGGGGATATGGGAAATGCAGGTATGTGATTAGTACTACTTATACCCGTGCATTATGCTGGATTAGCAGCATCAAAGAAAATAAAAAAAATGGTAAAGTCCAAGACCCTTCACAGCCTCCACGAGTTCCTCACGGCAGGTGGGATGGCTCTGTCGGACTTTGACGACCTCCCGCAGCTTTCCGAGTACCCACACTTGGTCTTGGACTCGCTGCTTGAGAACAACCATATCCGCCGCGAATTGGACACGAAGGACTTCTCATTTCGACTTCGGCGCAAACGGTTCCCCATTGTCCCAGCCTTCGCGATGACCATCAACAAGGCGCAAGGACAAACTGTTCACAACCTGGGATTATATCTACCAACGCCATGCTTCTCGCACGGCCAACTGTACGTGCCACTATCGCGAGTCACGGCAAGATCCTAAATCAAGGCGCTTATTGAGGGACCTGACGATGAGGAGGAAGACGGAGTGTACATGAAGAATATCGTGTATCGCCAGATATCTTAAACAACTACGCTGGTTTGGTCGTCTGCGTGCGTATCTGGACGTTAATTTATTTACGGACCCGCCCAAACAGCTCGCTCTGATTCGATGAAAATAAAACAGCCGGCAAAAAGCCACATCTCACTTTGATTCGATAAAAATAAATAATTAACACGCCCGGAAGAGAGCGATAGCATAGGTTTGGCAAGGTCTGCGCCGCAGTGCTGCAGTGCACTGTGGGCGCAGACCCTGCGCTGTGTGAGTGTGGTGTGTATGCAAGTGTGCGAATGGTAGTTACGCTAATATACGTATATTTACGTAAAAAATTGGTGCTGCGTGCTGCGATTAGTGGAGTCCCCAAACAACTTTACCTTACGAGTAGGCAGGGGTCGCTTTACAGTAAGTCTTAGCGGACTGAGCTGGCAGCTTCACCTGCCGGGACCACGGCCAGTTGCGTAGCGCACCCCTACAGTTTCGCCCATGAGTCATTACCCCCATGGGGCAACCCAGCTGACTGTTTGATGGGTACAAATGGTACTTTTTGGTTTATCCGGCTTATTACCATTATTATGTATTGACGTTCATCACGTCTCCATGGACGGCTTGCTGTCTACTTTGGTTGTGTAATTGAGATGTTGTGCATGCTGGTAAGGGCATGTGTTGCATAATATGCAGCATGTGTCCGCGTATCATGTTTGGCACGGATGCAGTTGGCGTTACTGTACATTTATGATGTTTTGGAGTGCCAATCTCATGCACTTTGAAATGTAATAAACTGTCAAAAAAGGTTGCAGCCCGCCCCCCGCCGCTGTCACTCTCTGGCCGTTGCACAAGCCATATCGGAATTTGCGACATGCTAAAACAATGAGTACAGAGTGACACCACCCGGGTAACTCCCGGGATCAAAATGGGCATTGGAAAGTGATCGCTTTATTGAGATGATTATGGTACTACCACAGGGTATTGTGAACGGTTTAAGAGGAGGAGAGGTCTGGATTTGTAAGTCTCACAGTACCGGTAAGAAGTGCCGGGTGGGGGATGCCCTCCACTGGGGTACAAATTCTGTCATTATTAGTATAGGATCATGCAATGTTTCTATCTGCAAACTGAAACGATCCCTGTTATTGTTCGATTGAGAGTGACCCACACCTCTGATACCATATGTGAGGAACCCAAAAATCTGATGCATGCGTAAAACACCCACAATGGGAATACATAAACGTAAAACACCAACAAAATACATTATAACATAAAAAAATAGGTGGCCCCATAGCGCATCTGTCTGTGTGTGTACATACAGACGGAGGATGCAGGGGCCAACCTGTGTGCGATCGGAACGGTGCAATTGCTGACCAATGTCACTGTGGATGGCGCACACGCTGATGCACACCGGAGCTGTGTCTTTGCGATGCAAGGGCATGGTGGATGGTGGAGCGCATATGGATGATGCGTTACGAATAAAATAAAACAAAACAAACCGCTGGAAGCAGCCATGCGAGCAGGCTACCTTGAGAGCGATCGCGAATGGGTTGCGTGTCTGGAAGAAGCCTCGCTCTTTCAGATGCCGTACCAGCTTCGTCAACTCTTCGCTACGATTCTGCTGTATTCCATGCCAGCAGATACGAAGGCTCTCTGGGATAAATTCTACGACGAATTGGCTCGCGATCACGAGTACCATTACCGACAGCTGACCAACAAAAAAGAAATAGTAAATCTTCTTGGTTCTTTCAGTAAAGTCACGTAGAAGGGAAGTTATAAAATAATAAAAATAAAACATAATAAAATAATTATCACGACGTTTCTCTGAATCTCCAAGTAAGTGTCTATTTTCGCGGATAAACTCTTAAACGTGTTCGTCGTTAAATTAGCGGGATTTTTTTGCGTGTCGTCGTTTTAGCAGTTAACAAAATCCAAAACTCAACGCTAAAAATCCTTGCGTCCGACAGCGTACATGGAGCAGAGACGCTCTCCACAGCCCCACGCACACGGAGGCAAGAAGCCATTCAATTGCTCTGTGTGTGGGAAGTCATTTTCATGGCCATCATATCTTCAGAGACACCAGAGAACACACACGGGCGAGAAGCCATTCCTATGCCCTGTGTGTGGGAAGGCATTTGCACTCTCATCACATCTTCAGAGTCATCAGAGAACACACACGGGCGAGAAGTCGTTCCTGTGCTCTGTGTGTGGGAAGGCATTTGCACAGTCATCAAATCTTCAAACTCATCAGAAAACACACACGGGCGAGAAGCCATTCCTGTGCCCTGTGTGTGGGAAGACATTTGCATGGTCATCACATCTTCAGAGTCATCAGAGAACACATACGGGCGAGAAGCCATTCCTGTGCCATGTGTGTGGGAAGGCATTTGCAGACTCATCAACTCTTCAAACTCATCAGAGAACACACACGGGCGAGAAGCCATTCCTGTGCCCTGTGTGTGGGAAGGCATTTTCACAGTCATCATCCATGAACAGGCATCAGAAGGTCCACAATGATAGGATGCTGAAATCAAAAGGTGGAATTCAAGGTGCTGCAATGATTCCTGAAGATAATTCCACTATCGATCCCATGCAGTTGGATCCCGAGAGATGGCTGGATGTAATGGAGTGGCTCGAGGATCAACCCGAGAGCTCGGGGTGACTGAAATATAATGTTGCATGTAGTTATACCTATTAAGCCGTATCGAGCACTTTTGTGTGTAATTCTGACCCTTTAGTTTTACAGTTCGTTTGAGAGTTTCTTGACGTGCAGGTGGTGATTTTTGATTTTGTCGGATTTAAGTCTTCCTGTTGAGCTAAAGTTGGAATGCATCTGTAGTTAGATCTTTACTCAACATTTTAAACGGGGTTTTTTTCAAGTATAAAGCTTTTTTTGGATGGTGATAATCTGCTTTGGTATGTACATTGATGACGCGTTCGTTGGATATATGGCATTGACTTCAACATAGACGCACAGTGAACAAACATGGTGAACTAATAAGGGCATCATGGGTAATGATACTTTAGCGCTTTGGTATTCCTGGAACGGATATGGTTTGCATTGTATTGTAACATAGGACAAAATACATTCGGTTCGAGTTTTGACTTAAAAATGATTGCAGATGAATAAAAAAGTTTTTTTTAACAAATGTGTGTCCGTTTATTTATTCATATCAACAACGTGTTTTAAGCGAGTTTCAGGTGGAGGATCTTCGTCACACAAATCTGCCCTTAACCGGCAGTCTCCCCATTAACATGTGTTCCTGGAGGGGAAAGGGCCCCATTATTAATCGATTCACAACGTTACGGTCCCTAATCATCAAGTATACAGGGAATCCTGTACGCTAAGACACGTGAACTGTAACACTATAAACGATAACACGAAACATTAAACTACTATACACTAGTTTAATCATTTATAACACCAAAAACAGAGGTACGGTATCATAATCTCATTACAAGCAGTAGAATTTCAACGTGATCGTATTAAAATCACACTCTGCGCATATGTATGTATAGCGTACGTGCAAGCGAACTGTGCTCGTATGTACGAATGTAATATGCATCTATGGCCTTTGGACATGCGAACCGGTGGTCGGATATGCGAATTGGGGGGTGCAGGATTATGATCGGATTAAAATGATTAGAATATCACTTTGGTAGTATTATAATTACACTGAGCTAGAATGTATGTTAAATGTAGATGCACATCGGGAGTCGTTAATGCGGCCTGGGTGGTGCCAGATTTAGAATCGCATCAAAATTATTAAAATCGCACCATGGTCGTATTAGAATCAAGCTGCCCACTGCTGGTAGAATGTTCCATCGCAATGGCACCGAATAGCAATATACAGCATTGATATTGGGCGTGGAGCCTAAAAGCGCAACCTTGCGCATTTTGAACTGGTTCTCGCCGCCGGTCCCGCGCCCATGGTAGAATCTTGTGCATGTCGGGGCGTCAAGGGTTCACACCACAGCCTTGAAGGATTAGGCAGGTCCCTGGCTTCTTTTGGAGAATTTGACCAGGCTCCAGGCACCGGTTCCTCGCACGTGGCGGATCCTTGAGGCACCCCAGGCCTCAGGGGCTCAGAAACTGTGGGCGCCACAACACATTTCCTTTTGGCGTACGGTTTCCGTTGCCGAGCGCCCCACCACGTCGGACACACCAGACTTGGCCTGTACAGGACATGGGGATGAGCTGTCTGGGTGGGGACGGACATAACAACATGCGTACACACTGCGGCCATGTCACCTCTATGACTTCTACCTGTCGCCGCCGTGGGCGGAGCAACTTTTGATGACTTTGAAAATGCCTTTCCACACACAGGGCACAGGAATGGCTTCTCGCCGGTGTGTGTTCTCTGGTGACTCTGAAGATGTGATGAGTGTGCAAATGTCATCCCACACACAGAGCACAGAAACGGCTTCTCGCCCGTGTGTGTTCTCTGGTGACTCTGAAGATGTGATGACCGTGCAAATGTCTTCCCACACACAGGGCACAGGAACGGCTTCTCGCCCGTGTGTGTTCTCTGGTGTCTCTTAAGATGTGATGACCGTGAAAAGGACTTCCCACACACAGAGCAATTGAATGGCTTCTTGCCTCCGTGTGCGTGGGGCTGTGGAGAGCCTCTCTGCTCCATGTGAGTGTAGTAACAGCAGCGGTGTTATTGAGTCAAAAGTACGCTATCGGCCGCAAGGATGTTTTGGATTTTGTTAACTGCTAAAACAAGAACGACACTCGCGTCTAACCGAGACGCAAAAAAATCCCGCTAATTTAACGACGCGAAAATAGACACTTACTAGGAGATTCACGGTATATCGATGTCTGGAACCCGTCTGAAAATGTCGCCACGAACTCTCCCGACGCAAAGTCGCCTAACTGTCGACACAGCAATTGTGCTCGCCAGGCTGCGTTGTCTCGCGGTTGAAGGGCGATCAGCAGAGCGACGAGTCGAGCGTCCAACCTCATCAAGTTCCCTCTCGAAATGGCATTGAGCTCTGCTTCTGAGCCGCCTTATAACTCCCCCCCTAGGATCCAATCCTTTGTCTTTCAGGATATTTGCATTTGATTGTTAATTTTTGAAGGCACAATCCGCATGTCTATTAACATACCGAAGGGTAATGCGCCCATTGTGCTTCATGCATGCATATGTAAGTGCATCTCAGTGTGTAATTGTGCGTCTATTTTGACTAAAAACTTTGTCCTCGATTTAAAGTGAATGCAGAGAAATTAGCATGTAACTTTAGAAAAGGAAGAGAGCGGCCTTCTCGACGAGGGAGGGAAATCCAATAGGTAATCTTCTTCCTAGCGTTGTTCCCGCTGTGGCGCAGGGTCCGCTTTTCGGCATTGTCTTCCCCATTTGGCTCGGTCCAGGGCATCTTCAGGGGATGCGTTGACCGTCTTTATGTTTTCCTTTATTCGATCCATCCATCGCTTCTTCGGACGTCCGCGTGGACGGCGGCCCTCTGGTTCAATATACATATCTACCAACGCCATGCTTCTCGCACGGCCAACTGTACGTGCCACTATCGCGAGTCACGGCAAGATCCTAAATCAAGGCGCTTATTGAGGGACCTGACGATGAGGAGGAAGACGGAGTGTACATGAAGAATATCGTGTATCGCAAGATATCTTAAACAACTACGCTGGTTTGGTCGTCTGCGTGCGTATCTGGACGTTAATTTATTTACGGACCCGCCCAAACAGCTCGCTCTGATTCGATGAAAATAAAACAGCCGGCAAAAAGCCACATCTCACTTTGATTCGATAAAAATAAATAATTAACACGCCCGGAAGAGAGCGATAGCATAGGTTTGGCAAGGTCTGCGCCGCAGTGCTGCAGTGCACTGTGGGTGCAGACCCTGCGCTGTGTGAGTGTGGTGTGTATGCAAGTGTGCGAATGGTAGTTACGCTAATATACGTATATTTACGTAAAAAATTGGTGCTGCGTGCTGCGATTAGTGGAGTCCCCAAACAACTTTACCTTACGAGTAGGCAGGGGTCGCTTTACAGTAAGTCTTAGCGGACTGAGCTGGCAGCTTCACCTGCCGGGACCACGGCCAGTTGCGTAGCGCACCCCTACAGTTTCGCCCATGAGTCATTACCCCCATGGGGCAACCCAGCTGACTGTTTGATGGGTACAAATGGTACTTTTTGGTTTATCCGGCTTATTACCATTATTATGTATTGACGTTCATCACGTCTCCATGGACGGCTTGCTGTCTACTTTGGTTGTGTAATTGAGATGTTGTGCATGCTGGTAAGGGCATGTGTTGCATAATATGCAGCATGTGTCCGCGTATCATGTTTGGCACGGATGCAGTTGGCGTTACTGTACATTTATGATGTTTTGGAGTGCCAATCTCATGCACTTTGAAATGTAATAAACTGTCAAAAAAGGTTGCAGCCCGCCCCCCGCCGCTGTCACTCTCTGGCCGTTGCACAAGCCATATCGGAATTTGCGACATGCTAAAACAATGAGTACAGTGTGACACCACCCGGGTAACTCCCGGGATCAAAATGGGCATTGGAAAGTGATCGCTTTATTGAGATGATTATGGTACTACCACAGGGTATTGTGAACGGTTTAAGAGGAGGAGAGGTCTGGATTTGTAAGTCTCACAGTACCGGTAAGAAGTGCCGGGTGGGGGATGCCCTCCACTGGGGTACAAATTCTGTCATTATTAGTATACGATCATGCAATGTTTCTATCTGCAAACTGAAACGATCCCTGTTATTGTTCGATTGAGAGTGACCCACACCTCTGATACCATATGTGAGGAACCCAAAAATCTGATGCATGCGTAAAACACCCACAATGGGAATACATAAACGTAAAACACCAACAAAATACATTATAACATAAAAAAATAGGTGGCCCCATAGCGCATCTGTCTGTGTGTGTACATACAGACGGAGGATGCAGGGGCCAACCTGTGTGCGATCGGAACGGTGCAATTGCTGACCAATGTCACTGTGGATGGCGCACACGCTGATGCACACCGGAGCTGTGTCTTTGCGATGCAAGGGCATGGTGGATGGTGGAGCGCATATGGATGATGCGTTACGAATAAAATAAAACAAAACAAACCGCTGGAAGCAGCCATGCGAGCAGGCTACCTTGAGAGCGATCGCGAATGGGTTGCGTGTCTGGAAGAAGCCTCGCTCTTTCAGATGCCGTACCAGCTTCGTCAACTCTTCGCTACGATTCTGCTGTATTCCATGCCAGCAGATACGAAGGCTCTCTGGGATAAATTCTACGACGAATTGGCTCGCGATTACGAGTACCATTACCGACAGCTGACCAACAAAAAAGAAATAGTAAATCTTCTTGGTTCTTTCAGTAAAGTCACGTAGAAGGGAAGTTATAAAATAATAAAAATAAAACATAATAAAATAATTATCACGACGTTTCTCTGAATCTCCAAGTAAGTGTCTATTTTCGCGGATAAACTCTTAAACGTGTTCGTCGTTAAATTAGCGGGATTTTTTTGCGTGTCGTCGTTTTAGCAGTTAACAAAATCCAAAACTCAACGCTAAAAATCCTTGCGTCCGACAGCGTACATGGAGCAGAGACGCTCTCCACAGCCCCACGCACACGGAGGCAAGAAGCCATTCAATTGCTCTGTGTGTGGGAAGTCATTTTCATGGCCATCATATCTTCAGAGACACCAGAGAACACACACGGGCGAGAAGCCATTCCTATGCCCTGTGTGTGGGAAGGCATTTGCACTCTCATCACATCTTCAGAGTCATCAGAGAACACACACGGGCGAGAAGTCGTTCCTGTGCTCTGTGTGTGGGAAGGCATTTGCACAGTCATCAAATCTTCAAACTCATCAGAAAACACACACGGGCGAGAAGCCATTCCTGTGCCCTGTGTGTGGGAAGACATTTGCATGGTCATCACATCTTCAGAGTCATCAGAGAACACATACGGGCGAGAAGCCATTCCTGTGCCATGTGTGTGGGAAGGCATTTGCAGACTCATCAACTCTTCAAACTCATTTGAGAACACACACGGGCGAGAAGCCATTCCTGTGCCCTGTGTGTGGGAAGGCATTTTCACAGTCATCATCCATGAACAGGCATCAGAAGGTCCACAATGATAGGATGCTGAAATCAAAAGGTGGAATTCAAGGTGCTGCAATGATTCCTGAAGATAATTCCACTATCGATCCCATGCAGTTGGATCCCGAGAGATGGCTGGATGTAATGGAGTGGCTCGAGGATCAACCCGAGAGCTCGGGGTGACTGAAATATAATGTTGCATGTAGTTATACCTATTAAGCCGTATCGAGCACTTTTGTGTGTAATTCTGACCCTTTAGTTTTACAGTTCGTTTGAGAGTTTCTTGACGTGCAGGTGGTGATTTTTGATTTTGTCGGATTTAAGTCTTCCTGTTGAGCTAAAGTTGGAATGCATCTGTAGTTAGATCTTTACTCAACATTTTAAACGGGGGTTTTTTCAAGTATAAAGCTTTTTTTGGATGGTGATAATCTGCTTTGGTATGTACATTGATGACGCGTTCGTTGGATATATGGCATTGACTTCAACATAGACGCACAGTGAACAAACATGGTGAACTAATAAGGGCATCATGGGTAATGATACTTTAGCGCTTTGGTATTCCTGGAACGGATATGGTTTGCATTGTATTGTAACATAGGACAAAATACATTCGGTTCGAGTTTTGACTTAAAAATGATTGCAGATGAATAAAAAAGTTTTTTTTTAACAAATGTGTGTCCGTTTATTTATTCATATCAACAACGTGTTTTAAGCGAGTTTCAGGTGGAGGATCTTCGTCACACAAATCTGCCCTTAACCGGCAGTCTCCCCATTAACATGTGTTCCTGGAGGGGAAAGGGCCCCATTATTAATCGATTCACAACGTTACGGTCCCTAATCATCAAGTATACAGGGAATCCTGTACGCTAAGACACGTGAACTGTAACACTATAAACGATAACACGAAACATTAAACTACTATACACTAGTTTAATCATTTATAACACCAAAAACAGAGGTACCGTATCATAATCTCATTACAAGCAGTAGAATTTCAACGTGATCGTATTAAAATCACACTCTGCGCATATGTATGTATAGCGTACGTGCAAGCGAACTGTGCTCGTATGTACGAATGTAATATGCATCTATGGCCTTTGGACATGCGAACCGGTGGTCGGATATGCGAATTGGGGGGTGCAGGATTATGATCGGATTAAAATGATTAGAATATCACTTTGGTAGTATTATAATTACACTGAGCTAGAATGTATGTTAAATGTAGATGCACATCGGGAGTCGTTAATGCGGCCTGGGTGGTGCCAGATTTAGAATCGCATCAAAATTATTAAAATCGCACCATGGTCGTATTAGAATCAAGCTGCCCACTGCTGGTAGAATGTTCCATCGCAATGGCACCGAATAGCAATATACAGCATTGATATTGGGCGTGGAGCCTAAAAGCGCAACCTTGCGCATTTTGAACTGGTTCTCGCCGCCGGTCCCGCGCCCATGGTAGAATCTTGTGCATGTCGGGGCGTCAAGGGTTCGCACCACAGCCTTGAAGGATTAGGCAGGTCCCTGGCTTCTTTTGGAGAATTTGACCAGGCTCCAGGCACCGGTTCCTCGCACGTGGCGGATCCTTGAGGCACCCCAGGCCTCAGGGGCTAAGAAACTGTGGGCGCCACAACACATTTCCTTTTGGCGTACGGTTTCCGTTGCCGAGCGCCCCACCACGTCGGACACACCAGACTTGGCCTGTACAGGACATGGGGATGAGCTGTCTGGGTGGGGACGGACATAACAACATGCGTACACACTGCGGCCATGTCACCTCTATGACTTCTACCTGTCGCCGCCGTGGGCGGAGCAACTTTTGATGACTTTGAAAATGCCTTTCCACACACAGGGCACAGGAATGGCTTCGCGCCGGTGTGTGTTCTCTGGTGACTCTGAAGATGTGATGAGTGTGCAAATGTCTTCCCACACACAGAGCACAGAAACGGCTTCTCGCCCGTGTGTGTTCTCTGGTGACTCTGAAGATGTGATGACCGTGCAAATGTCTTCCCACACACAGGGCACAGGAACGGCTTCTCGCCCGTGTGTGTTCTCTGGTGTCTCTGAAGATGTGATGACCGTGCAAATGTCTTCCCACACACAGGGCACAGGAATGGCTTCTCGCCCGTGTGTGTTCTCTGGTGTCTCTTAAGATGTGATGACCGTGAAAAGGACTTCCCACACACAGAGCAATTGAATGGCTTCTTGCCTCCGTGTGCGTGGGGCTGTGGAGAGCCTCTCTGCTCCATGTGAGTGTAGTAACAGCAGCGGTGTTATTGAGTCAAAAGTACGCTATCGGCCGCAAGGATGTTTTGGATTTTGTTAACTGCTAAAACAAGAACGACACTCGCGTCTAACCGAGACGCAAAAAAATCCCGCTAATTTAACGACGCGAAAATAGACACTTACTAGGAGATTCACGGTATATCGATGTCTGGAACCCGTCTGAAAATGTCGCCACGAACTCTCCCGACGCAAAGTCGCCTAACTGTCGACACAGCAATTGTGCTCGCCAGGCTGCGTTGTCTCGCGGTTGAAGGGCGATCAGCAGAGCGACGAGTCGAGCGTCCAACCTCATCAAGTTCCCTCTCGAAATGGCATTGAGCTCTGCTTCTGAGCCGCCTTATAACTCCCCCCCTAGGATCCAATCCTTTGTCTTTCAGGATATTTGCATTTGATTGTTAATTTTTGAAGGCACAATTTGCATGTCTATTAACATACCGAAGGGTAATGCGCCCATTGTGCTTCATGCATGCATATGTAAGTGCATCTCAGTGTGTAATTGTGCGTCTATTTTGACTAAAAACTTTGTCCTCGATTTAAAGTGAATGCAGAGAAATTAGCATTTAACTTTAGAAAAGGAAGAGAGCGGCCTTCTCGACGAGGGAGGGAAATCCAATAGGTAATCTTCTTCCTAGCGTTGTTCCCGCTGTGGCGCAGGGTCCGCTTTTCGGCATTGTCTTCCCCATTTGGCTCGGTCCAGGGCATCTTCAGGGGATGCGTTGACCGTCTTTATGTTTTCCTTTATTCGATCCATCCATCGCTTCTTCGGACGTCCGCATGGACGGCGGCCCTCTGGTTCAATATACATGGCAGTCTTGGCCACTGATGACTCTTCACTTCGCATCACATGGCCGTACCACCGAAGCCTTGCCTCAAGCATCTTGTCCGCAATGGGGGCCACACCAAGTCGATTCCGAACGTCTTCGTTCATGACACGATCCCATCGAGTGAGTCCGAGGCTCCATCTGAGCATCCTCATCTCCATGGTGTGGAGAGCTTGTTCGTGTACAGTTGTGGCTGGCCAGCACTCGGATCCATAGAGTGCCACCGGTCGGACGATGGTCTTGTACATTTTTCCCTTCAGCCTATCCGGCATTTTCCTATCACAGAGGACTCCGGTGACTTGCCTTCATCCATGCCGCATTGACTCGTGACCTCACATCAGTCGTGATGCTACCATCTGAGCTGATGGTGGAACCCAGGTACTTGAAGTCCGTCACTTTCTTCAGATCTTCTCTGTCAATGCTGATGGTGCCGTCGGTTTGGGGGCCACACTCCATATACTCCGTCTTTTTGATGTTGAACCTCATCCCGTTTTCGTCCAAACGTTCTTACCACATGCGGGTTTGTCTTTCGACTTTTCCTCTCTCTTCATCTGAGAGGAGGACGTCATCCGCGTAGAGAATTGACCATGGCAGGGGCGTGTGCAGGTCGGCAGTGATCGTGTCCATGCACAGGATAAACAGGAGTGGTGACAGGGCCGATCCTTGGTGCACTCCAACGCTGATGGGAAATGGCGGTGATATGCCCACTGCACACCTGACTGCACTGGTGACGTTCTTGTACCCAATGCACGTAGGTTTCAGGGACTCCATGGGATCGAAGCGAGTGCCAGATGAGGTCGTGGGGGACCCTGTCAAATGCCTTTTCAAGGTCGAGGAACGACACGTGCACAGCTTTGTTCTTCTCTCTGTGCCTCTCCAGCAGGAGCCTCGCCGCGAATATGGCGTCCGTAGTGCCATATCCTTTGACGAAGCCGCATTGGTTGGGTGATAGGGTGACGATGTTTCTAATCCTCGTGTCCAAAACTCGCTCAAAGATCTTCATCGCATGACACAGGAGCCGGATTGGCCTGTAATTCCAGCATTCTGCCACGGCCCCTTTACCCTTCCAAATTGGATCCGTCGTGCTGGTCGACCAGGCTTCTGGGACCTCACCGGTGCTCGTGATGGTGCTGAAGAGTTGGGTAAGGAGGGCAGCACCCTGCCTGCCAAGGATCTTCCAGGCCTCAGCAGGTATATCGTCCGGGCCAGTCGCTTTCCCATTCTTCATTCTCTTGATAGCTTGTTCCACTTCGGTGATGGTGATAGGTGAAACCGGATCGAGGACGTGTTCAGCGCTAATAATAGGTGGGTGGGGAAATTCCTGGTTGCAGATTCCAGAGAAGTAGTCGCTCCAGCGTTGAAGGATGGCGGGCGGTTCTCTGAGAGCGCTGTGATTCTCATCCTTTATGCATTTGACCTGACCAATATCCTGAGTCGAACGATGGCGCGCCTCTGCCAGTCGATAGATCTTATTGGCACCTTCTGGGGTGTCCAGTTCGACATACAGTTGGTCGTATTGAGCTAATTTCACCGCTGCTACTACTCGCTTCGCTGCCGATTTGCAGTTTCTGTATTGTTGGTAATCCAGATCTGCGAGCGTTTTGCGCCACTTCTTGAAAGCTAGCTTCTTCTCTTTCACTGCTAGCTGAACTTCTTCGTTCCACCACCATATTTGCTTGTCAATGAAGTGTTTTGCCGGCTTAGTTAGCCCCAGTGCTTCCGTTGCTGCTGTGCACAGTTGGCCGGCGAGATCTTCCCAAATCGCATTCGCTTGTCGGTTGGTGTTCACGTCAATCTGATTGAGGGCGACTCTCAGCTGATCTTTGCATTCCTTCATCCGCCACCACTTAATTCGCTGCTGTTCCGTTGTTGGTGGGCGATGTCGCTGGCCAATGTCCATTTTCATGTCCATGATCAGGATGC